AGCAACATGGCGCCGGTGGGCGGGGGCGGGCGCCCGGGCGGCGGGCCGGCCCGAGGGCGCCTCCTTCTGGCGGCGCTGGTGCTGCTGGGGGTGGTGTGGCTGGCCCGAGGGCGCCTCCTTCTGGCGGCGCTGGTGCTGCTGGTGTTGCTGTGGGCTCGGGGGGCCCGGGGCCAGGACGACCCCCAGAGGGGCGCGATCCTGGGCATGAGGCTGGCGAGCTGCAACAAGTCGTGTGGGATGAACCCGGATGGCATCATCTTCGTGTCCGAGGGCAGCACCGTGAACCTCAGGCTGTACGGCCAGAGTCTGGGCAACATCTCCAGCAACCTGATCTCCTTTACAGAGGTGGACGACGCCGAGTCCGCCCACAAGTCCGCTAACTGCTTGGAGCTCACCAAGGACCTGGTTGTCCAGCAGCTGGTCAACGTGAGCCGCGGGAACACGTCCGGGATGCTGGTGGTGCTCACCAAGTTCCTCCGGAGGAGCGAGAACATGAAGCTGTATGCACTGTGCACCCGAGCCCGGGCGGACGGGCCCTGGCTCAAGTGGACCGACAAGGACTCGCTGCTCTTCATGATGGAGGAGCGTGGGAGGATCCTGCCCCTCTGGCTGCACATCCTTCTCATTATGGTGCTGCTGGTGCTGTCGGGCATATTTTCTGGCCTCAACCTGGGGCTGATGGCCCTGGACCCCATGGAACTGCGCATCGTGCAGAACTGTGGCACCGAGAAGGAAAGGCGCTATGCGCGCAAGATCGAGCCCATTCGGCGTAAGGGCAACTACCTGCTGTGCTCACTGCTCTTGGGGAACGTGCTGGTCAACACCTCCCTCACCATCCTCCTCGACAACTTCATCGGGTCTGGCATCATGGCGGTGGCTTCCTCCACCATTGGCATCGTCATCTTTGGGGAGATCCTACCTCAGGCCCTGTGCTCCCGACACGGGCTGGCTGTGGGGGCCAACACTATCATTCTCACCAAATTCTTTATGCTGCTCACCTTCCCCCTCAGTTTCCCCATCAGCAAGCTCCTGGACTTCTTCCTGGGCCAGGAGATTCGCACTGTGTACAATCGGGAGAAGCTGATGGAGATGTTGAAGGTGACGGAGCCCTATAATGACCTTGTGAAAGAGGAGCTAAATATGATCCAGGGTGCCCTGGAACTACGGACCAAAACGGTGGAGGACATCATGACCCAGCTCCAGGACTGCTTCATGATCCGCAGCGATGCCATCCTGGACTTCAACACCATGTCGGAGATTATGGAAAGCGGCTATACTCGCATCCCAGTGTTTGAGGACGAGCAGTCCAACATTGTAGATATCCTCTATGTCAAAGACTTGGCCTTCGTGGACCCCGATGACTGCACCCCCCTCAAGACCATCACTCGCTTCTATAATCACCCGGTGCACTTCGTCTTCCATGACACCAAGCTGGACGCCATGCTAGAGGAGTTCAAGAAGGGTAAGGCCTGAGCTCGCTCCGAGGTTACGTTTTGGTGTCGCCGCTGGTCTTCTTGCGTGTTTTGTGTCATCCAGTCTTACCTTTCTGTGTGTCTGACTTCTGTGTCCCTTTACCTATCACTTCCTGTGCCTCTGAGGTGAATGGTATTGGGGGAGCAAAAGCCGATCTTAAGCGCCTACCGTCTGCCGGGGTCCCTTCTTTGTGCTTGGGATGGATCACAGTAGAATAGGACAACTTGCTCCTTCTCAGGGACAGCGGGGCCTCAGGGAGCTTCTGAAGCAGGGCAGAAGGAGGCCCGTGCCTGAAAAGAGGCCAACACCTGAGTGGTGGAGATTTAGAGGGTGGGGTGGGGCGGGGAAGAGGCTGGGCAGTTGGGGAATCTTTCCTGGGGGAAGCACATGAGGGGAGCCTTAAAAGGTGGAGAGGCTTACTCCTTGAGGCAGAGGGAGCCCCCTGAGCAGAGACCCCGACTGGGGAAGAGAGGATTCACCCGTGGCCCAGCTGGCGGTCCTGTCTCGCTGTCCTGTTAGCCCTGGTCAGCTGGCACTGGGGGAGAGGTTGGAGGACTCTGGGGCCTGTAGTGGACAGAGTTTGCTCCAGGCTTGGCGCTCTGGAAGGTTTTCGAGCAGGGGTTACGGCTCAGGAGCTCCTGGCCCACAGAAGCAGACCTGGGAGGTCTGTAGCCGGCTCCCCGCTCAGAAGCATGCCAAGTAGCACCACGGGCCATTCCGCAGAAGCAGGCGGATTACGTTTTGGTTATTATTCTGTCTCTCCCAGGCGCCAACTGTAAGCTCCCCTCCTGTGGTGTGCTGGGAATCTTCAGCGCCTGCATTGCTTGCTGTTTTTTTCTCACACAGTTCTTGGCCAGTTCTCAGGTAGTTAGAGAGGCACTTGGAAGCTTTACTCACTAGCCTCAAAACTCAGGGCACACACCCCTTTCTTCCTTCCAACAGCACTTTCCTCCCACCTCTCCACGCAGCAGCCCTCGGAGTGGCAGTAAACAAGCCAATTATGGAGTAAAAACCCTGCTAGGCCGAGGAAGTGAGGAGGCAGAAAGGGAAGCTCTTTATAAAGGAATGGGCTTGGTGGGGGGCAGCTGGTCCAGACCTGAGAACATAGCCTTTTCAACGCCCGCACAGCCTCCCTTTCCCGTAGGTAGGGCTCCTGCTGGCTGAGGGCAAGCAGGCAGACCTAGGGCCAGGAGCAGCTTCCAGACTCGGGCTGGGAGTAAGCTGGCAGTGCTTCTGGAACAGAGTGTGGAGGTCAGCCCGGAGTAGGGTAGGGAGGAGCTGGCCTTGTCAGGCTGGCCTTGAAAAGATGCTCGGGTCAGGACCAGGGTGGTACCTTCCCTTTTGAAGTTTGACAGATTGAATCTCAGCATCAGAGCAGAGGGCCATTCAAGTAATGGAAGCCAGAGGGAAAACAGCAGGTGAAGTTGGCCTTACTTCAGAGACTGGAGGGGGCTGGCCCGTGGCCTGGTGGTTGGGGAAGCTGGACCCTATAGGGTCAACTCTGTGGTGTGAGCCCCAGCTCCTGATAGGATGGAGAAATGGAGAAGGGACTGGGTCAGGACTCAAACTGCATGGTCAGCCATGTGGGATCTGGCTGACTTAACCACCAGGCCCCAGAGCTGCCCCTCTCCCACATCCTTTCACCTTTTTAGTGACCAGATCTCTTTTCAGGGTGCTTTCTCTCTTCTCATGCATGCATCCTCTGGTCAGAAAAAAAAGGGGTTATCCACACTTGGTGGTGAAAGCGGAGCCCAGGGTGGGGAGGTGGAGGTTGGGGTGCAGACCCAAGAACATGTCTCTCCCAGGTGCCGAGCCTGGGGTAGAAGAGCAGACAGGCTTTGTACCCGTCCCATCCCGTAGCCTGCATTTCTGAAGGCTTCTCCCATGGTGCTCCGTCAGGAACCTGAGTAGGGCTCACCAGCTTTCTCCTCACCGCCTCTGTGGTCTTCGGGATCGCTGCTGGTGACACACCCATCACTTCGGGCTGGCTGGGTTAGCCTGCTCAGGGTTCCCAACCCCTGATCTACAGGGCTGATCTTTATTGGGTGGAAGCTTCCTGGGTCTGGTGAAGAAGTGCCCTTTCATTAAGCTGGGAACATAGTTGGCATCTCTCATCCAGAGCTCTGCTGAGCGGAACTGTCCAGACTCACCGTTTAGTCCCCTGGACTCTCCTCCCGAGCAGACGCTGGCCCTCCGAGGTTGAGCCCTAGAGGGCGCGCTGATAATCACATGGAAAAGCAGTCACAGCCTACCTGGGGCTACAGGCTGTCCTGGAGATGTGGCACCCCGAAGAACAGGACGCAGGGGCTCGTGCCATCACTTCCTGGTTCCCAGAGGTCCTAAAAGCAGTCTTATCTATTTATTTACTTACTTACTTGCCAGAGGACTTGTGCGCTCACCAGAGAGAGAGAGGAAGAGGGAGAAAGCACCCCCAATGAAGTGGGGCCATGACACTCCTTTCTCCTCCATTTCTCTAATCCGTTGGCATTGGGGTAGGCACACACCTGCTGCTGGCACGTTTGTCAAGCTGCAAGGTCTGGAACTCGTACCGTGTGGTCAGCCATGTAGGATCTGGCTCTCTTAATTACCAGGTCATGCGCCAGTCTGGGAACCCAGTCTTAACGGTTTGCCAGTCACGGAGTAAAACTGTCCTAGGCTGAGGAAGAGAGGCAGGAAAGGAAGCTCTTCATGAAATAATGGGTTTGGTGTGGGGAGCTGGTCCAAACCCGAGGGCTTTGCATCTTTTCTTTCTTTCTTTCTTTCTTTCTTTCTTTCTTTCTTTCTTTCTTTCTTTCTTTTTTTTTTTTTTTAAGAGGTTTTTGCCTTGGGATTCATGTGCTGGGGAGGGCGGGGAGGCTTTTGGGGATGTGGGGTAGAACAGTGAGAGGGAAAGTGAGAAATCACCCTTGGGGTTATGGCTGTGCTGCAATCTCTTTTCCATTTGTCTCCCTTGGGCATGCACACACACACGTGCCTGTATGAGTTTCAAGCCACCAGATCTGAGACTTGAACCACAATCGGCCATGTGGGAGTCCAGCAATGTAACCGCTACTCCATCTGCTGGCCCCAGGACTTTGCTTTTTATTTATTTTTTGGGAGGAGAGAGATTTTTGCTATAGGGCATGTGTGTTTGGCAAAGAGACAGAGAGACAGAAAGTGAGAAATCACTCCCCGGGTGGGATGACCACGCTTTGATCTCCTCACCTCGATTCTCCTCTCAGGATTTTGGGCATGCATGCACACACACCTGGCGTGAGTTTCAAGACGCTGGGTCTGGGATTAGAACGGCAATCGGCCATGTAAAAGTCCAGCTACGTAACTGTTAATGCCATTTATTGGTCTCAGACTTTGCTTTTTAAATGCTCTACCAGCCATGGTAAATGGCTCCCCCAGTATGGCCTCTCCCAGGTCTTTTTTTTCTTTTCCTTTTTTTTTTTTTTTGCAAGAGGTGGACAGGGAGAGGAGAAAGTACTCTTCACTGGAAATTATCACACCATATTCCCTTTTTTTGTCTCTTCTTTCAAGATTTTTGGGCATGTAAATACATGTGTTTCTCAAGCTGCAGGGCTGGGACTTGAACTACATGGTTAGCCATGTGGGATCCAGCTGCCTTAACCACCAGGCCACAGAGCCAGCCCTGCTCCCAGGTCTTCCCACCATTTTAGCCTGAGGCTGTCCAGGATGTGGGAAATACTCAGTGTACGCCTATACTGCAAGTGATTTTCTTTCTTCTTCTTCTTTTGTTTTTAAGATTTATTCATTTGTTTATTGGTGGTTTTTTTTTTTTTTTTTTTTTTTTTTAATTCACCAGAGATAGTTAGAGAGAGAGAGGGAAGCGAGAAAGCAAGCTGCCAGGTCTGGGACTCGAACTATGGTCAGCCATGTCAGAGTCCAGTACCTCAACCACCATACCACCTGCTGGCCCCAAGTGGTTTTCTTTACTTGGCCAGCAGGTGGCATAGAGGTTAGGGCACTGGATCTCACAGAGCCAACTGCATGGTTTGAGGATCTGGCGGTTTGAGGGTCACACTGGACGCAGGCTCATGTGCGTGTGTGCCCAAAATCCCAAGGGGAGATTGAGGGAGAGGGGATCGTAGTGTGACCATCCCCCCAGGGGGCGATTTCTCACTTTCTCTTTCTCTCTCTCTCTCTCACTGTTGCTCTTTTATATCCCACCCTGATCTTCCTGCGCTCCCTTACCGTGAGCTGTTCTTTCCTTTTTTCATAGCACATATGTCTGTGTAATTTACTGATTTACTGTATTGGCTATGATCTGTGCCCTCCCATAGAATTTCCGAAGGCCAGGGTCCTTATAAGTATTTTTATTGCCAGAGGGTGTGTATGCTTGCCAGAGAGAGAGTACCTCCCAACGGGGTGTGGTCACACACCTCAATCCAGTCAAGATTTTGAGTGCGCGTACTCACACCCGGTATGTTTCTGAAGCTGCCTGGGCCACAATTCAAGCCGTGGTCCGCCATGTGGAATCCAGCTCCCTCAACCATGAGGCCACAGGCCTAGCCTAGGCCCTTTGTTCATTAACATATCTTTAAAAAATATTATTAATTTTATTTATTATTGTTATTTTAAAAATTTGACCAGAGAGAGACAGAGGGAAAGTGAGAAAGCAAGGCTCCAGGTCCTGGACTCCTCCCGCAGTTAGCTATGTGGAAGTCCAGTGCCTTAACCACCATGCCACCTGCTGGCCCCTCATTAACATATCTTTAGCCCCCAAATGGTTTTCGACACATAGTAAGGCCCCAATAAAATGTCACCAAATGTATAAGTGAATGAATGAATACCTGTCAGATGTGGGAGAAAATTATTCCCATTCAGGAAGTGTTCGAATTTTGAGGTGCTGATGAGGAATAGAAATTTAAAAAGCTTATGCGGTTACCAGTTGCTCAGCATTTTCTTCTGTTTTTTTGGGGAGTTTTTTTTTTTTTTTTTTTTTTTTTTTTTTTCTTTTGGTGTTGTGCGCCCGCATACATG